AATGCAACCTATATAAACCCCGTACGTCCCCTGTAATCCCTGTAATCGGGGCTATCTTTCACTCAGGAAGTGAGCCATCTGACTCCTGAGTCTGCTGCTAAATAAAAGTTTGGCTGAATTTGTGAGGTCTGCTCCTGTCCGGGTTATATATGCTTTCACTATGGTGCTGAAGCTGTTTTGGTTATTTTTGCCAGTGTGATAGATGTTTTACAAGTATTACCACAAGAAATCCTTTCAACATTCCTGTGAGATAATTCCTGATTATATCTGCTCCTTCATTCAGATGAGGGTGTGCCAGTAATGGGGTGAGAAACTCCCCTGCCTCCAACACCAGCAGTCCAGGCCTGCACTCTGCATCAGCTCCTTGTGAGGCTGCATGCCTAAAATCAGGAAGGGGCCTCTCACCTGGAAGCACAAGGGAAGAGTGTCTGGGGAGGCCAGGAGAGCAGAGGAGAGGAGATGAGGAAGTGGAGAGGATTAATCTCATCTCAAATTTACCTTGATTTCTTCTTTCTTCTTCAAGGTGTAAAAACAAGGAACAAGGGAAGATATTTAAGGAAAACTTCTAACTTGCCTTTGAAATCACTGAGGTAAAAGGTTGTGAAATAGTCAACCCCTTGAGGCACTGAAGGTAAGAGGGAGGATGTGGTTGGATTGGGTTAGACCTGAGATGCTCCAGGAAAAAGGAGAGGGGAACCTGAAAGGCATGTATCCAGGTCGAGCAAAGGTTTCCTATTTCTAAGACACATGAAGAGCACATGCTCATCATTAAGAAAAAGACAAATTCACCTAATGACAAAATGGTCAAAGGAGTTGAAGATGCAAATATCAATAGAAAAAAGTACAGGTCACTAGTAAGTAAGAAAAATGTTCAATCTTACAAGTAATCAAAACTGCAAATACAGTCACCTATTAGTTGATAAAAATATTTAGAAATTAATAGAATCTAGCATTAATGATTATGTGAGGAAAATGCTCCACTGAAGACTCTTTATTTTTACATTTTTATTTTTTATTATGGTGAAGTATACATAACATTTGTCATGTTAGTCTTTTTCTTTCAGTGCTGAGGACTGAACCCTGGGGTGCTTTACCATTTAGCTATACCCCCAGCCCTTTATATTTTGAGACAAGATCTCACCAAGTTGCCCAGGGTGTCCTAGAATTTTGACCTTCTTGACCTCTGTGCCTCAGCCTCTTCCTGTCACTGGGGTTATAGTAGGATATCATGACCCTGATACATAATAGTTTAGTTTTTTTCATTTTCCAGTTTTTGGTACATTATATTTATATATATTGGTGGGATTTGTTGTTACATATTCATCCATGTACACAATATAACTTGGCCAATATCATTCTCCTTTCCCCTTCCTTCTTTCTCCCCCTGATCCCTTTCCTTGAAGCTACTGATCTCCCTTTGATTTTCATGAGATCCCCAATCTTTCTTTTCCTTTTTCCTTTCTAGCTTCCAAATATGAGAGAAACACTTGTTTTATTTAATTTCTAGAGAAAAATAAATACATATTCAATTGAGACAATGTCTTGCTTAACTTGACTGAGAAATATTGTCCCTTTGGTGTAGATGAGTGAAATTTCCAAATGTATTTTATGATCCCAGGTAGAATGTCTTACCTCTGTCTTCTGAATTACAATCAGAAATAATACATCGATTTCTGATGGAATATGATTAGGAACCATATCATATTGACTAAAAACACCTCTGTACTCCCCACCTAATGCTGTATATGTTTAAGTGAATTATGATATTTTTTCATGATTGTAAATTCTACTGTCTTTAATAAATTTAGAATACTTTTTTCCCTGCAGGAGGTGGTAGTGCTCACCTATAATTCCAGTGACTAGAGGCTGAGACAGAAGGATCACAAGTTCAGGTCAGCCTAGGCAACATAGGGAGACTGTCTTATGTTGGGTAGAGTAAAACCAGGAATATCATATCTCATTTCACAATAAAATCTGCCTACAATGGGAAAAAATCCTGTCTCTAAAGAGAGAATGCAACAGTTTTCTTGAAAAAATACCTTTGTCTAACCTAAGAAATATATGCTTTCCCCCCCCCCCCTTTTAACTTGAAGGAAATACCAGAAAGGTATATGTAAGCCTAGGATAGAGGAGTTTCTGGGATGGACGAGTTTTGGATTTTTGTGTTTGAATTCTTTTGGCACTAAGCCATTTTGTTTTCTTTCCAGGGAATATCTTACCTGGCCCTTGGAAAATCTTTTCCTATTGGTTTAATAAATAATACTAGAATGACTACTTGGAAAAAATGTAGTTGGAATCCTTCCTCAGGCTAAACAACAAAATGAATTCCTGCTATATTAAAGAATAATGTGAAAATTAAAGAAATCACAATAAAATATAGGACATAATTGTACTGGAAATAACATAGATACCCATTAGTGAGGGGGTAGTTAAATAAGGAATGCTATATCTTCTGAGTATCATGAAATCATATAAACTATAAGTTTACTGATCTGGAAAGATGTGTTGAACCTTAAGCATCTTTGTAGGAATTTCAAGCTATGTCTATATGTAGTATGTATAGGGTAGTTCTACTTTTATTTTTAATATGAATGTCTGTTCTATATTTATATGTGTATATATAATGGTAAAAAAAAAGTCTGAAAGGTATGTACCAACTCAATCCCTCCAGATTACTTCTGGAGGGATGGAAGTGGAGGAGACAGAGGAAGTAGTAATAGTTTTATCACTATATATAATATTTTTAAGAGTGGTAAAACTATTATTTTATTATTTCTGCTCAATATTTTCTAAAGAAAAAGGCTAAACTTTTAAAAGTAAAAAAAAATTATAATGGGGTAAGGAAGACTTCTGAGTATAACATCAAAGGCAAAAAATCATACTAGGAATCATTTTAAACTTCTGCTCACAAGTGACAAGATTGTAAAAAGGACTGACAACACAGAACACTGTGATAGATGTTGTGGGTCAGTGCAGTCAACATCCATTCCTCCTTCCTGCTGTGTGTAGAGGGTATGTGTTTCTGAGACTCCCCTGAAGTTAGGATTCGGAACGTAATTAGGTTCTGTCAATATTTAGAAGACAGATTTGAAACAGGGCTCATCTTTTAGCTGCTGTTGCTATTAGCAAACAAAATTATGAAGACTGACATGCTTAGAGACAGCTGCACTGATACCCAGAGTTCCAGTGTCCAATCATCAGCCTTGAAGATGTTGACAGTTGTTGTAGGCTCAGGAAAAACATGCCATACAGAGAGCAAAACTGCAGAAAATAGAGCAAAAACAAAAAAAGCATAAGGGAGAATACACTGTTGAAAACAGCGTATAGAACAGAGTAGACAGAGATGAGAAAAAGACAATGAAATAGGGGCTGGGACTGTGGCTTAGTGATAGAATGCTCACCTGGCCTGCATGAGGCACTGGGTATGATCCTCAGCACCACGTAAAAATACAATAAAGGTACTGTGTCCATCTACATTGTATATATATCAATGAAATAAAAATCAGGAACTAAAGATTATACATAACTGGAATTCCTAAAGAGGATAACTGAAAACAAACAGATAAAATTTTTTAAAAAAAACACTATTTGAAATAAAAGATTTTTTTTTTTTTAAACTGGGGATTGAACCATTGAGTGACATTCCCAGAACTCCCCACCTTTTTTTTTTTTTTTTTTTTTTAAGTATCCGGTGATCCCATCAGTTTTTTTTTTTTTAATTATTTGCTCTTTTTAGTTATATATGATGTAGGATGTATTTTTGACATCATACATACATGGAGTATAACTTCCCATTCTTGTGGTTGTACATGCTGTAGTCATTATTTACATATGAACATAGGAAAGCTATGTCCTATTCATTCCACTGTCTTTCTCATCCCAACCCTCCCTCCCTTCCCTGTTTTCCCCTGTCCAATCCTGTGAACCTTCTGTCTCAGCTTTCTGGGTCACTGAGATTATAAGCATGTGTCACCATGCCCAGCCTGGTCAATTTATTTTTAACTTTAAAAAATTAACTTCTGAGCTAGGTGTGGTGGCACACACCTATAATTCCAGCAACTTAGGTTGAGACAGAAGGATCCACAAGTTTAAGGCCAGGCTTATCAACTTTTGTGATAACCCCGTCTCAAAACACAAAATAAAAAGGTTTGGGGTGTAACTCAGTGGTAGCTACTCCCTGGATTTAATTCCTAGCGGGGTGGGGGAGCAGGGGAAGGATTTGATTTAAATAAACTCCCATTTCAAAAAAATCTAGTGGAGAGATTGTGAACAAAGACCAACCTATACGTAATTGTGAACAAAAGACCAATCTAAAGAAGCTATATTCTATGTCTACAACAAAACTTAAAGTGAACAAGGTAACACATGTATACAGCTTTATCTTCCATATGCCGAACAAATAACACTGGATTTATTCAGCTGCATTAAATAGTTAATTGTATATAGTTTTAGCTATTTATATGGAATATTTAAAACTCCTAAAATCTATAGGTTATGAAATTCCCATAAAGATCTAGGTTCAACAATTAGGTCACACAGCTATCAATTCCACAAAATGCTTGAGTCTGTGTCACAGGCAGAATAGTTCTGTGTGTACATTGGAAAGGCACGCCTGGGGGACTTTCTCTCTCACTACATTCAGGTTATGAGGAAGAACTAACTCCCTGACGATAGTCACAGTCTATCTGATGCCACCATGTAAACGTGGTACTTTAGTGCTCCAGGTGGTCCCGCAATGAAACTCCTGGCCTGCAGCATGGAACAAACTGTTCTGTGCATTGGTTTGGTCTGCTCTCTCCTGCTTAATTATTTGAGGGCTAGTCCCTATAGCTTTGCATAAGATCTGTCCCCATTCTGTAAGGACAATATTACTCAAATTAAGGTAACAACTGAACTTTATGTCATAATAACTCTTCTTCAAATAAAGGAGCATAACTATGTTTTTATTCCTCATTCAGGTTTTAAAAAATTGATGGTAATAAGTAAAGACAAGATACAAATTAGTTTCCATTTTTTATTAAAATTGGTTTTTTTCTAAGGAATATATTACACTTAAGGTTCATTACTATAAATAAGGAATAATTTTCAAATCTTCTATTTTACTTATTAAAAGTATAAACATAAAAGTAAATAATTCAACACTACCTTCCCTCCCCCCGACCCAATATACATTAAAAAAAAATTCCTTCTTTTCAGAAAGTTCTCTCTTCAGAATGAAAACTATAGACTATCAAAATATGTTCATCCTCCTGGACTGCAAGGTCATGGTGGGAATGACCAGTGTCCATTATGAAATAGGGCTGTGGGGCTGTGACTTAAGTCCGTCTCCTTCTTTGGGGATTGTCACTCAACTGCCCTCAGAGACAGATTCTTCTCTGTCCAACAGGTGTCCAAAGACATGGACAGCAGTAAGGCATTGAGCAAAGACTCTGTGATGAGCACAACATGAAGGCTGCACACTCCAGGAGGTGGATCAGAGCCAGTGGTGACAAGCAATGTGGCTGAGAATTAGTCATAGAATATTACAGCTGGAAAGATTCTGAGAAATCATCTAATTGTTTTTTAGATGGCCTCAAACAGTAAGTCTTCTCACACTGAAAAGCACATCAATAAAATTTTATGGAATACTCTGATAATATCTATTTATGTATCTTCCTAAAACTATTTAAACATCGAAAAATTAGGTTTCAACTTTAAATATTGATAAACTAAGCCAAAATACACTGAAAACTTATGTTAACCATATTTTAACATTTTTAGAATATCCATTTGGTCTTAACAAAAATAAATATCTTATAGGAAAAAGGTAAGGTTTGCCGATTTTAAGAAAAAAGCAAGGAAAAAGAATGTTTTCTGAGAAAATACCAGAGAGAACTACATTATGACTACCTAACTGCTTGCCAGTTTCTTTAAAGCTGTCAGCTCAAGGCTACTGACATGGCTTTTATTTCCTTCCTGAAATTCTGGTCTTCAAAACCTGAGACAAATTCTTATGATATTTTTGATAACTGGGACCTTAAAACAATCAAAATGAATCTAAGTTTGAACTGAAAACCGAGGTAGTCAATTTTTATAAGCACTTGACCTTTTTTGAATTGGGAGGGGACTCTAGTTCATTGTCCCCAAATTAGCAGCTCTGCATTCTTCTTCCCTGCTCCACTTAACTTCTACCCCAGCTGCAGCCCACTCCATCTCTCTGACAGAGGGAACTGGTTTTGTTTTTCCTAACATGAAGGGCCTAACCACCACAGAATACCAGCATGTATGCAATTTCAAATTCTTCAGTTCACAGCTGAATTTTAGACTAATATTTCTGCATTGTCTCAGATTTTAAAAGTTTTTGCTTCAAAATTGTCATATTCTAAGAGACTAAAATGTCTCTCTTAAAATTTCTTACAGGATCAGTGTCCTTCTAAGTCTTGCTAAGTACACTATGCAGAATCAGTTATAAACAACCTTGATTAAGCTTTACTGAAGAGAAAGGGAGACATCAATACAGTTAGTAACCTTCAGGAACTCACAATTTCTTAATCTCATACTCCATCACATTTCATGTTTGTGCAGAGAAAACACTGGGCCACCAGATTCCAAGCTTAATAAATATATATACAAAAAATGTCATCCATAATATTTTCTTCATAAAGTCATCAGTGCAAATATAATTATATCAAAAAATAAAGCAAAGATATATTTCAAGTATAAAAAGCACCATGCTTGGAAACAATACTACCTAATGGCATTACTGCACAACAGTCAAAATATAGTCAAACCTAGCACTGTGAATCTCAAATATATTATTAATCCATTTGATTTTTTGGTGAAGTTCTTTATACAACTTTGTGGGGTGATACATAATCATAATAGGTATGTAAGTTTAGATAATTATACATTTATTTAAAAATATACTCTACTTATCTCTCACCTTGCATAATTTAATGGATGTATAATACTGAGTGTTGTCCAGCAGACCACTCTTTCTCTTAAACTAAAATTAACTATGTTTGGGGCCCCAGTTTTCACAATGACAAATACCACAAATACCTCCAATTTATATCTCATGCAAACATATACTTTAGATTTATGTATTTCAAAAAGTAACTTTCCTTTATATGGGACTGCCAAAACAGTAGCTATGCTGCTTTGCTCATTTAGCACAATTTCTAAACAAGCTTCCTTCAAGGGTTGAATTTTTAATGCTACAGAACTTATTAGCTTTAGAGAGAAAAACCGGGCATCGCCTCTCATTAAAGAAATTTCAAAGAGGAATCGCTAAATGGGGTTGGTGCTCTGGTACCACAGTAGAATTATTTCACAAAATCCATGTGGTAAGAGAGTTATCAAAAGCAGGAGGTAAAAGATACAGTTTTCATCTTATTCATAAAAAATTTTTCAGGTATTCTAAATTCTTCCCGAACAATTTTAGTCCACTGAAAATAACCACATACAGGTTTATAACACAATTTCCTTTCATCTACATTGTTCAAAAGGGATAAAATAAATGGTTTTGCTTCATTGGATTACAGTTGTCATAACTAATACCTGAAAAATGTACAACAATTTTTTCTTCTGGTTGCACATCTTCAACGTTTTTGCAGGGCAGTGTATTTTACTCTCTCTGCTTCCACATTTTTTGGAGTCATTATTAAGTTAATGGACAATGAAATGGAAGCTGAGCACTGAAGATCGGTGAGTAGACAGGGTTAACGATACACTGATAACAGTTCAGTAGTAGACTGCTACACAGCTGGCAAAAAAGGCAAGCGGAATGAAATCACAAGACTTAGTAAAACAGTTTAAAACTCTTCAGGACAAACAATGAGAACAATGATACAAATGTACTATGGACAAGTGGGGCATGATGGCACAAGCCTCTATCCCAGCTACTTGGGAAGTTGAGGCAGGAAGATTGCCAGCTAAAAGCCAGCCTGGGCAATATACTGAGACCCTGTCTTGAAACCAAAATCAAATCAAACTAAACTAAGGCAAATAAAAGTATACTACACGTACAGCCATCAAATTTAAAATAAGTGTAATAGTGATATAGAAATTTTAATTCATTATTTTCTGTAAATTAAAGGGCAACTGATACTTCTGAGGGCAAGATCCACAACTTACAATTTTGTAATAATTGGCTATTATATGTTACTGTGGTGTCCATGATGAACTTGCTTATCAATTAGGCTAATGAAAATGCTGAGGTATGTAATCACTCTGGGAATTTCACCAATTATCCTGTTTTCAAAAGAAAACTTCAGGGAGATTATGTATCTTGAAGTACAAGATGTGGTGACTTGTAATTCCTTCTCCTTCTCCAATCTTTGAGGTGGCTGGGTAGTTGATGAGGAGCGACTGCTGTGAAGTTTTGCTTCAAGGTCCATCGTAGTCAACAGGCCCAAGCCAAAGTCAGGAATGCCACTTCTACCATTTTTGCACAGGTTCACGCTTGCCCAGATTTTGTGCTTTGTTCACAGGAATACGAGATAAAGGAGTTGAGAATTCACTTTTCTTTAAATTTCACTTTTCCATTCCTAGTGCCATACACAGAGAAGAAATCCAGCCAGCAGAGGAAACAGATTGCCTAGCAGAAGCCAGAGGGTGACCACCAGGCTGGAGGAGCAGGAACAGAGATCTAGAGTTGAAAACAAGAAGTTGACTTTCCATAACCATTTTTGTGATTAAATCATACCAATTAAATATTGACAGATGCGTAGAGGTGAATAAGAATCATCTTAGCAGAATAGAGTGACTTCCTGGCCAGGAATGGTGGTGCACACCTGAAATTCCAGCAGTTCAGGAGGCTGAGGCAGGAGGACTGCAAATTCAAAGTTAGCTTCAGAACTTAGTGAGTCCCTGAGCAACTTAGCATTACCCTGTCTCAAAATAAAAAATAAAAAGTGCTGGGAATGTGGTTCAGTGGTTAAATGCTCCTGGGTTCAATTCCTAGTACTAATAAAATAAACAAAAATTTTTAAAAAGAGTGACTTCTTGAAACCCCAACACACAGTTATTGTTTTTAATATTATAAAAGAATAGAATATACACACAAAGGAAGAAAAGATAACTACCAAGTCAAGGTAATAATAAAATGGCACCCATGAAAAGAAAGAAGTGTCTTAGGGTGGTAACCAGCAAAGGTAAAGATGGTACGTGGGGGCTGGGGATGTGGCTCAAGCGGTAGCGTGCTCGCCTGGCATGCGAGCTGCCCGGGTTCGATCCTCAGAACCACATACCAACAAAGATGTTGTGTCCGCCGAGAACTAAAAAATAAAATATTAAAAAAAATTCTCTCTCTCTCTCTCT